AACAGGCTTCGCTATCGCTCAGCCAAAAATTGAGTATAAACAGAAGTGGATGTCAAGGTAGACGGTGCCAACCAAATGGAAAAACAATATGCATAGTAAAAACACCTAATTCACTTATCAACAGGGTGACACAAAGTTATTGGTACAAAGTTCCTGGCCGGTTGCTGCTCATGACCTGCCATTCTAGGGCATTGTGAACAGTATGTGCATGTGCAGCTCTCGGGAATCTTGCGCTCTTAGGTTGCCGCCTCTCACAAAGCTAAGATACACAAGGTAGGTTTACGCCAGACCGCGTCTTGTCGTAACAGGCTTCGCAATGTCTCGCTGCCTGTTTCTCCAATCCGCGCCTGGCGTACCTATCTTGGCCTGCGGCGCTAGCCTGCCTTCGGCAGGCAATGGCTTCTCCATCTCCATCGTCGATTTTCCTAACTTGTTGCCTGCTGGGGGGCTCCGCCCCCCAGACCGCCCTTTATTCTAGAAAGGGTTGCTTCATCTCCAGATAACTCGATCTTGACCCTTGTTACTTTTCCCCTTGTCCGGGCTGGGGGGCCCCGCCCCCCAGACCCCCCCTTTTATCACGACAGAAGCGATCTGCCTACAGAAAACTCGATGTTTCGCCGTTCTTAAAGTGTTTTTCGGATATAAAAACTAAACCAGTTGAGCTAGGATGGTGAGATTTCGCGTGTGCCGAGCCAAGGACATACCCAAAAAGTGTGCAAAATCTCACCGAGATCGGCCGAGCCGTTCAGGAGTAGTAGTGCGGACACACAGACACACACACACGGACAGACAGACAGGAAAAATTTTTCAAACCCACTGGAGTAACAGGCTTCGCTATCGCTCAGCCAATTAATTGCATCAAAGAAATAAAAGAATGACAATTAAGAACAATACTTGGAAAAAAAAAACAGATACCAATGCTGCTAAACAAAGTACATTAAAAATAAAATTGCGGATTGCTAATACAAGGTAGGTTTACGCCAGACCGCGTCTTGTCGTAACAGGCTTCGCGATGTCTCGCTGCCTGTTCCTCCAATCCACGCCTGGCGTACCTACCTTGGCCTGCGGCGCTAGCCTGCCTGCGGCAGGCAATGGCTTGTCCATTGTCGGTTATTTTTTAACTTGTTGGATGCTGGGGGCTCCGCCCCCCAGACCCCCCTACATTCTAAATAGTTTGTTTTATCTACAGATAACACGATCTTCACCCTTGTCACTTTTCAACTTGTCGAGGCTGGGGGGCGGAGCCCCCCAGACCCCCCTTGGTCCAATCCAGAAGTGATCTATCTGCAGAAAGCTCTATTTTTCGCCGTTTTTCAGGTGTTTTTCGGTTATAAGAACTGAACCAGTTGAGCTAGGATAGTGAGATTTCGCGTGTGCCGAGCCAAGGACATACCCAAAAAGTGTGCAAAATCTCACCGAGATCGGCCGAGCCGTTCAGGAGTAGTAGTGCGGACACACAGACACACACACACGGACAGACAGACAGGAAAAATTTTTCAAACCCACTGGAGTAACAGGCTTCGCTATCGCTCAGCCAATTAATTGCATCAAAGAAATAAAAGAATGACAATTAAGAACAATACTTGGAAAAAAAACAGATACCAATGCTGCTAAACAAAGTACATTAAAAATAAAATTGCGGATTGCTAATACTAAGAAATATATTGATGAAATGGAATTGGCTGAGCGATAGCAAAACCCGTTTCTCAGGTGTGGTTGAAAAGTTTTTCCTGTCGGCGTACGTGCGTGCGTGTCCTCACTACTCCTCCTGAACGGCTTGGCCGGTCCGGCGGAGATTTTGCAGGGTCATTAAGTATGTTCTTAGCTCGCCACACACCAAAACTCAGCTTTCTATCTCAACCCATACAGTTAAAGCGTCTTAAAAACACAAAAAAAAAGCAGAAAAAATAAAAATTTACATTTACTTAAGTCTTTTGTTCGGACTACTACTCGTGAACGGCTCGGCCGATCCGGCGGGGTGGTTGGGTATACCCTTAGTTTACCACACGCCGAAATTCGGCTTTCTATCTGAACCCATGCAGTTAAGGCGCCAAAAAAACACTCAAAACGAGGCACTAAAGAGCAACGTTTTAATTGGCTTCAGTTTTTTTTAGCAGATGATACCTTTACTAACTACTTTAACGTACCTAGAACACTAAAAGACACTTAAAGGTGTCAGCTAGCTTTTACTCGAGAGTAGAAACCAAGGCTGTATCCTAACAATAATAGGGGCTGGCTGGTGGGGCGGGCTGGTGAGTGAATGAGTGAGGCACAGCCTGCGCGACGCATCGACAACTCCTCCTCCGGGTACAGCGCGAGCGGCACCGGCCAACAATGCCCTTCCCCCCCTCGCACAGTCCCTCCCCGGGTACAGCACACAGAGCAGCAACAATGCCTCTCGGCACGGCTCGGCGCGCTCGGGGCACGGCCGGGCAAGGCGCAGCAGTGCAAGCCACAGCTCGGCTCGCACCAACACTGTCCAGCTTGCTTAGGTCTATGTATTTTATTGGGCTATCTATTTTATTTCATACACAAGTATAAATAATCCCGAATTACTACCTAGAAGAAAACCAAACGAGTATCATCTGCTTTCATTAACGTTCGTTGAATGAGATTTTTTGTCTCGACTACTACTCCTGAACGTCTAGGCCGATCCGGCAGACATTTTGCAGGGTACAAAAGACCCTATGATACTGTTCTACAAAGCGATTTCAGCGTAACAAACACAAGTTCGTGTTCGGTTTAAGATTTTTATTTTCTAATGAATATCTTAACAACCAAAGTTGAAACATTCTTTGTTTGTACATGAAGCAGAAGAATATAATATCGGGGTATCAAATCCAAATGTCCTAAAGGAGATTCTTAATTGTTTGTACTCCTACAGAAGTCACGTGCACGCCGTCCCTTCCAATAGAACGTTGGGTTGCCGCCAGTGCTGAATTTGCATCAACGACATCGAAGAAAGGCTCCATGAACTCCCGCAGCATATCATTGAACCGTGTAGGATTCATGGTGGCGTTGGCTTTGAGAAGAGGCAGGGGCGGAATGGTAAGAAACCTTACTGGTCCGTGGAGGTGACGGGCCACTTTCCGCAGTTTTATCAGCTGGAGCCGTGCATGCTGCTTCGCAACATTCCCCGACAGGCCCTGTTTGGAGGCATCAAGGACATCATTGGTGCCGATCGCGGGGAATGATCGCGGAGCTTTTTAATCACCCAAGCCATCCTGGCTCCACTGCGGACGTACCCAATTTCACCGCGCACTCCCAGCACTCGTAGGAAATTGCTATCCTCTGCGAGCACTGTGGAGCCCCAAAGTGAGCGGGGTTGCGACCACAACGTCACTGAGATGTCCGAGTGACTAAACACGCGCTGCATCTCCCTCTGAACAAATTGCAGAGCAAGCCCGTCAAGTCCAGTTCCCAAAAGAGGTCCTGACAACTCCGTCACACCGAGGCGCGCACATGCCATGGGAACTGCGTCCAGGGCACGGGAAAAGTCGGCCTCCGAAGACCGTTCACAGCTTCTCCTCTTCGTGACCAAGGCGAGGATGGTGCGGTCACGCCGGTTGCTCTTCTCGAGGATGTCGACGTCCCCAACGCCGAGCTGCTGCTCACGGAGCTCCTGACGTCGGTCCTCCAAAGCGTCGATTGAGGACGCTTGCGAGCTTGACGTGTCGTCGTGTAGGACGTTGAGTGATGCTTACGCACACTGATGCCCTTCTTTCTGAGTGTCTCAAGTGTTCTTGGGATAAGAGCAGCACGCACAAGGGTCACCAAAGGGAGTGATGGCTTGCGTTACAGGATTGCCAAGTTTCGAATTAACTAGTGGGCGCAAACGTCTAGATACTGAGATCTTTAGTTTTTTGTTACTTACTTTCGCGCCCACGAGGTAGGCACCCGATGCCACTGAGGGTGGCGGGACCTCACGAGTAGGTGTCAAGGGACTCAGTCGGTTAAGCGGTTGTGCCGGTCACTCTTGAAAAGGGCGCGCCTTTTCAAATGGGCCGCTTCCCTGACAGACTCGCAGTCCTCCCGGGAGTCCCGCTGACTTCGCGGAATCATCCGTGGAGTCCTGCCAGCTTCGCGAAGACAGCCGCGACCAGTGTAACGCAGGCCACCACGACAGCCACCCCAGTCAGCATAAGTCGTGACGTGAACGTCCGTCACTACCCAGGCACTAGTGCCTGGGCGGTGCTCCGCGGCATGTGCCGTGGGGCACGCTGATTTCACGTGCTCTCAGCGTGCATCGGGGGTCGTTCCCCGGGTGTTCCCGGGGGTATGCGCACAGCACGCACACCTGACCGCAGGATGTCGGGGTTACGTTCCTGGGGCGTGGTGGCGAGCACGTGCCGAGACGGTGCGCCGTGGTGCGCTGATGGCACGTGCATTCAGCGTGCCTGCTGGAACGTCCCCGGGTGGGGCCGCGATGTGCGCTGCCGGCACGTTCCCGCAGCGTTCACGCGGGAACGTCCC